CAGGAAACCTGTAGGAAAGGTGAGAGGCGAGCCACTTTGACCCACAAAAAGGGACACCAAGAAGCGAATAAATTCGGGGAAAACCTTGAGAGTTCCAATGTTATTTTAGAACAGAAACACCATAAATACAACCCAGCTAGGCGGAGGAACAAAGATAAGTTAGATTCGACTAGCGATCCAGTGAGCTGCATAGGAGCCAGAGTGTATGGATGTAATATATGTGAAAAAATGTTCAAACAACCCATTCACCTTACAGAGCACATGAGAATTCACACTGGCGAGAAGCCCTTCCGATGTAAGGAATGCGGAAGGGCCTTTAGTCAGAGCGCATCCCTTAATACCCACCAGCGAATCCACACTGGTGAGAAGCCCTTCGCGTGTGCGGAGTGCGGCAAAGCCTTCCGCCATCGCTCATCGCTCAACCAGCATCACAGAACTCACACTGGAGAGAAACCGTTCATCTGTGATAAATGTCAGAAAGCCTTCAGCCAGAACATCAGCCTGGTCCAACACTTGAGGACGCATTCCGGAGAGAAACCCTTCAGCTGCAGCGAATGTGGGAAAACTTTCCGACAGATTAGGCACCTTAGTGAGCACGTAAGAATTCACACCGGGGAGAAGCCCTACGCGTGCACCTCGTGCTGTAAGACCTTCAGTCATAGAGCGTACCTCACACACCACCAGCGCATCCACACTGGAGAGAGGCCCTACAAGTGTAAGGAGTGTGGGAAAGCCTTCAGGCAGAGGATCCACCTGAGCAACCATAAGACTGTTCACACAGGAGTGAAAGCCTACGAGTGTAACCGCTGTGGGAAGGCCTACAGGCACGACTCATCCTTTAAGAAACACCAGAGGCATCACACTGGAGAGAAGCCTTACGAATGTAGTGAGTGTGGAAAGTCCTTCAGCTATAACTCGTCACTAAGCCGACACCATAAAATCCACAAGAGAAACTCTCTTCGAGAGGATGTTTAAAGAACGATACAGGACATGTGGACAAAGGCAGCTCTGAATTGGTGATGATAAGCTTTAAACTCTCAGGACTCGAATTTAAGAAATTGATAATGACAATGGCAACTTTTGATTTTGCCAATAGCGTAAATCAACACTACATCGATTACTACTACTTCTGACATGCAAAATGATAAATTCAGCATTATGAAAAATTAAGATTTATTTTTCTCATTTCATGATTAAGTAATAAATTATTTCTTTATGGACCCATTGATTTACAGATTAGTATTTGGGAACTGTTATTTAAAATGTTACTACCTGGGCTGGGGAGATGGCTCAGCAGGTGAGGGCACTTGCCACTAAAGCATGGTAGCCCTCCTGATATTGATCCTTGGGATCCATGTGGTGGGAGAGAACTGGCCTCCTCGAGCTGCCCTTTGGTCTCCACGTGTGCTATGGTGCACACTGATGTTCAAACCTCGCTCATGCCCTTGTACTCCGGTCACAGTTTTGCGCATCCCTTCTCCAAGCTTCTTACACCAGCTTTTTAAACACCTGTGCTCTTCTGAAGAGCTAATTTATTAATTTTCCATGCTGAATTAAATCTAGAGCATCAGGCATGATTGGCAAGTGCCACCACTAAGCAACATCATCAACTTTTTTTTTCTTTTTTGAGACAGTCTTTCTCCCCCAAGGCTGGCCTCAAGGATGATCTTGAACTTAGGATCCTCTTGCCTCTGTCTCTCAAGTCAGGGATTACAAACGTGGGCCACCGCACCTTGTTTATGCACTGCTGGGTACTAAGCTCACAGCTTTGTGTGTGCTTGACAATCACCCTGCCTGCTCAGCTACTTCCTCAGTCCTTTACCTCTTTTTTTTTTTCTTTCCTTTTTTAGTTTTGGAACTGGACTCACTAAGTTACCCAAGCTGGCCCTGAACTCATGATGCTGCTACCTTAGCATTCTCAGTAGCTGAGATTACTGGCTTCTGCCCCTTGAGGCTCAACTCAAGCACCTGCTGAGTATGGCCAGTTCTCCCCAGGTGGTATTTTGTTGTTTGCAGAGATGTCTAAACTTGACATTGCAACATGAAATTCACACTCAAAGAACCCTGCAATAGGGCTGGAGAGATGGCTCAGCTATTAAGAGTATATATTGCTCCTGCAGAGGACACAAGTTTGGCTCCTAGCATTCCCCTCAGGCCACTCACAACTGCATGTAACTCCAATTCCATGGGTATCTAACACCTCTAGCCTTGCTAAGTACTGCATTTAAATTCACAAACCCAGACTCAGACATGCATGCACACACGCACGCACACAGGCAATTTTCAAAAGTGTGAAAGAACCTTGAAATTGAGCTTAGAAGATCTCAAAGTAACTACAGCTTTGTGTTGAGCTTAATTCTTAACTATCCCAGAGTGGGTGTAGCCCCTGAGGTGTAAGTTGGACACTTGCTAGAGCTGCCCCTTGGCTTAGCCTGTTGCCAGGAGCTGCTTGGTTACTCTGGCTCTTAGCATTCTCTTCTGTGCCCGATCATTTGGTCATTGTTCTCACTGCTGTCCAGTTTCCATCTCCATCCCAGAACTCTCCTGAGCTCTAAACTGTGTTCGTGTGGATAGTGGTTATTCTATAATTGCTTCAAACTCAACACGTTGAAACCTTTTACTATCTTTTCGGCAAAGCCTGCATTCCTTGACTCAGAAAGCTGTGCCACCGTCGATCTGCCTCTCCAGCCGAAACCTGTTCTCCCCAGTTAGTCACAAAGCACTGCTCCAGGACGGCCTCAGTTTACCTGCTCTCTAGTCAGAGCTAGCCTTCTTCAAGTTCTTAGCCCTTTCTAGCTGCTTGTCGTCTGCTCATCTTCCTCTAACACAGTTCTCAACCTGGGGGTTTTGACCCCTTTGGGGAGGAGGGGGGTCTAACGATCCTCTTATAGGGGTCACATCAGATATGTACATTGCAGTTCATAACAGTAGCAAAGTTATAGTTATGAAGTAAGAGCGAAAATAATTTTAGGGTTGGGGTCACACCATGAGGAGCTGTATTAAAGGGTCGCGGCATTAAGGTTGAAAGCCACCGCTCCAGCAAATATGTACTCTGTGTGCTGTTACAATGACATACCAAACCCCCCTCCCCATCGTTATCGCTTAGAATCCCTCAGTTTATGATTAAGTGCCGGAAGAGGTCATCTTCTCTAAGTGCAGAACCATTAGCACTGTTTCCATCCAAACACATTTTGGCTTTGCCATAAAGATTTTGTGGTCCCCAAATACCCAGTCATATTACTGGATTTTTCTAGCATTATCAGGCTAAGCTCAGCCACTCACCTTTCATATTCCCTTAAAGAAGCAGAGAAAGGGGATTCGTGCCATGGGGTCACTACGGAAAGAGGGACAGAGGTCTAATGATTCCCAAGACCATCTTTGGATCCTAACATGCTGTGTAGGTTTGTTTTTGGTTTTTGGAGACAAGGTTTCTCTGTGTAGCTCTGCCTGTCCTGGAACTCACCCTGTAGACCAGGCTGGCCTTGAGCTCAGAGATCCACCTGCCTCTGCTTTCTGAGAGCTGGGATTAGAGGTGTGCACCAGCACTCGGCTGAAGTTGAGGTTTAAATAGAGACCAAGAGGGATGAACAACTAAGCTGTCCTGGTCAAGAGATGGTCCTGCCCACTGTCCCAGCTCGTGCTTCCTGCAGGGTGGTCTGACAAGTTCTAAGGATCATGTGAAGTCTGCTCCTGGAAGGCAAATCTCTGGATAGCATGATGCTGCATCATTTCTCTTCCTCCAGCATGAGATTTTGGGAAATTAATTTCTCTGAGTCCATTGCCTCAACAGTACCAAAGGGAGAAGCACAAGTGTCTCTCTTTATCTTTGTTCCTGTCATGTTGAGTATTTCATTGGTTTTAGTCCTCATCTGGGCAGTTTCCTTTTTCTGCCCATGTTTGGCATCCCTTCGTCCTTCCACAGAACAGAGAACAATATAATACACTATATATATACAAACCCTTGAATTTTTGACTGAATTTACTAAATGAATCAAAAAGCCAGACCTTAACTTTTAGGAGTTTAGACTCAAGTCTAAAGTCCCAGTGCTGAGATTTTAGGTATGGGTCACCATGGGCTGGAAAGTATTTCTTTTTTTCTTTTCTTTTTTAAATATTTATTTATTTATTATGTATACAATATTCTGTCTGTGGGTATGCTTGAAGGCCAGAAGAGGGCACCAGACCTCATTACAGATGGTTGTGAGCCACCATGTGGTTGCTGGGAATTGAACTCAGGACCTTTGGAAGAGCAGGCAATGCTCTTAACCTCTGAGCCATCTCTCCAGCCCCCTGGAAAGTATTTCTCAAAAATAGAAACAACTGGAGCTGGAGGGATGGCTCAGAGGTTAAGAGCACTAGCTGCTCTTGCAGAGGATCAGGGTTTGTTTCCACAAGCCCATTTGGCTCTCAAACCTCTAACTCTAGTTCCAGGAGATCGGACCCCTCTTCTGGCTTCTAAGGGGCACCAGGCAGGCACGTGGTGCAGATACTCGCTGGCAAAATATCCATACACATAAAAATAAACACTTTAAAAAATCTTAAAGAAAGAATCTGGGCATGCTTGTAATCCCAGCACTGAAAGAGCAGAGGCAGGAGTATCCCAATTGGAGGCCAATAAAAGGGATTAAAAAAAAAAAAAAAAAGGACGAACAACAAGAGCGCCAAAGTCTTTGAAGTTTGAGTTCGTAAGGGTTCCTTAAACTGGGAAAGCTGGTGCCAGATGCTAAGATCCGGATTCGGGTCCAAGGGTGTCAAAAGTCAGCAGCACTGGGGACAGCGAGGTGACCGCCGCTTTCTCTCTTCGGGCTCGCGGTCGTTAAGAGACGGAACAGTGACAGCTAGGGCCTCCCGGGCTAAAGGACTTTAGATACTGCAGTGTACACAAGGGCAGCCGGCTTCAGGTGCAGCGCAGCGCTAGTCTAGGGACATCGGGGGGTGGGGCCATAGCTCCGGAAAGGGGCGGTCCTCGGACCGCCGCTAGGAATTCTGGGATTGTGGTCAAGCGGATGGGTACGGTCCTTTGTACGAGGCTTCTGAGCTTTGTATATTGAGCCTGGCTCGATCCGAGCCCTGACTTGTGGGCTCAGTACATTGAGGGTGCGTGTGGCTCACCCGGGGGACAGGGACTCGGGGGCTGAGTGGAAAGCACACGTCTGCCCGCGTGGAAGGCCCGGGACGGTAAAGGCAGTGGCAGGCGGCCGGCACCCATCAGCGAGGCAGGGCCTCCGACCTCGGGCTGCCGCTGGGACTGAGCGCCTAGTGCAGGCACTGGGGAATGGGAAGGCACGGAGACCTTGCCCTGGAGAGGCCAGTGCTCCGAGTTATGGTAGGCAGCTGACCCTGCAGTGTCACTCAAGTAGAAACGCCGTAAGATGAGGGCGTGGTCAGGCCTGTCTTCCTCACTTTGCCATTTTAATACACGCCCTTCCCCGAGGAGGGAATCAACCAAGGCCCAGGTGAGTACGAGCTCCTGCTCTCCTAAAGTTATCGTTTTTCAGAGCGAACAGATACATAGACTCATCACTGCCTTTGAAAGGGGAAGGAAAGCCACGTTTATGTGCACTGTGGTTTAGCCGAGTAGACGTAGAAGGATTAGCCTACCAATTCTACATTCTAAAGATGTGCCGGTAGCATCAGAATTTTATTTAACGTGCCCAGGCTTATTCAAAAAACAAGTAGCATATTAGGAGAGTCTACTGGATTTTTCAGGATTAGTTTCAAAATCTGTGGACTCTTGATACTGACCTGGTGTTTTCTGAACATCTCATTTTTTTTCACCTAAAATTTCTAGCTATACCTATGCACTTTTAAACATGTATGTTCACATATATTAAATATTTAATATAGATATTAATAAATATTTATTAGTTTTGTTTTTTTCTAGACAGAGTTTTTCTGTAACAACACGGGCTGGAACTCACTCTTGTAGACCAGGCTGGCCTTAAACTCAGAGAGATCCGCCTGCCTCTGCCTCCCGAGTGCTGGGATTAAAGGCGTGCGCCACCACCATCTGGGTCATAGTAGGCCTTTTTCATCATAAGATAATTTCTTACTGAGAGAGGAAAAAAATTAGTGGCAAGCACTAGTGTAGTGGCTAACACCAGTTTGTATAAAGAAGATCATTTATCAGGTCATAAGGGTAATTTGTGTGTGTGTGTGTGTGTTGTTTTCTTTTCTTTTTTTGCTATTTTTCTGAGATATTGTCTAATGTAGCCCAAGCGGGACTCAAACACAACTCGGCTATGTAGTTGTGAGACCTTCTCCTACTTCCATCTCCCAAGTGCAGGGAATACAGGCATGCCCTGCCACGCATGGCTAGTAAGGGTAAGTTAAAATTCACTAAGAGCTTTTTCTCATCATTAATATGTCTCAAGACCTATAGTCATTAAAGATAGTGAAATAATATTCCAAATCTGTAGAGTTTTGAAGTAAAATAGGCAAGCCTCAGTGAATTCAAGGATAAGAAAAATAAGATTTGCCTAAATTCATCCACAGTGTGTTAGTGGCAGACCCATGAATCAAACAAAAACGGTTCTGCTCTCAAGCTGGTTCTGCTGTCAGTGGCGCATCGCTTAGTTACCTTGTGCAGTGTCCAGGATTCTATCTGTAGAAGTGAAAACAAAAAAAGACGTGGGTGACTGGAACATGAATACAAAGACTCATAAAGTGTCCTCGTGTTTACTAATGGGTCATAAGTAAATTGGTGTCTTAGGGCTGGGGATGCAGTTTAGGAGTAGAACATTTGTCTAGCACACATAAGGCCCTGGATTCAGTTCCCAGTACTGAAATGAATGGATAAATCAGTCAACCAATATCATACATGGTTCTTTTAGTCTCAGAGGAATGTACAAGTCTTTGACGATGTTTGGTACGTTACGTAGGTCCCTCCTTGTTCAGTCTAGAACTGTACCATGGCTGAGACTGGGGAAGAGGAGACAGCGTCGGCAGAAGCCTCAGGGTTCTCAGACTTGAGTGACTCGGAGTTGGTAGAGTTTCTGGACCTGGAAGATGCCAAGGAACCAACAGTCCCACCTAGCAAGGCTGGTCCTTCTTCTGAACTCCCTGAAAAGGATGACAAACCTGTAAGTTTGCAGCCCAGGAAAAATGGACTGGATGTCTCGTCACCCATGGAGAGATTCCAGCTGAAATACTTATATGTCACTGACCTGTGTGCTCAGAACTGGTGTGAATTGCAGGTGGTATATGGAAAGGAACTTCCTGCTTTCTCGACACCTGAGAAGGCAGCTGTTTTGGACACTGGTGCTAGCATCCACCTAGCAAAAGAGTTAGAACTTCATGATCTTGTGACTGTCCCCATCACCACTAAAGAAGACGCTTGGGCAGTCAAGTTTCTGAACATACTCTCAATGGTTCCTACCCTCCAATCAGAAGGGCGCATCAGAGAGTTTCCCGTGTTTGGGGAAGTGGAGGGAGTATTTCTTGTTGGAGTGATTGATGAGTTGCACTACACAGCCAAGGGGGAACTGGAGCTCACCGAACTCAAGACGCGAAGACGCCCAGTGCTCCCTCTGCCAGCTCAGAAAAAGAAAGACTATTTTCAAGTTAGCCTATACAAATATATCTTTGATGCCATGGTACAAGGAAAAGTGATTCCTGCAAGCCTAATCCACCATACAAAATTGTGTCTAGACACGCCACTGGGGCCTTCAGTGCTGAGGCATGCCCGGCAAGGAGGCTTCTCTGTGAAATCTTTGAGTGACCTCATGGAACTGGTTTTCTTGTCTCTTACACTGTCTGATCTCCCAGCTATCGATACGCTAAAACTCGAGTATGTCCATCAAGAGACTGCCGCTGTATTGGGCACAGAGATTGTAGCCTTTGACGAGAAAGAAGTGAAAAGCCAGGTGCAGCATTATGTGGCCTACTGGATGGGCCGTCGAGCTCCTCAAGGTGTTGATGTGGAAGAGGCGTGGAAGTGTCGGACCTGTGACTATGTTGACATCTGTGAGTGGAGGAGGGGCCGTGGAGTGCTCAGCTCTTCACTGGAGCCCAAAGCCAAGAAGTTGAAATGAATGGAAGTTATGTTTTCAGAAATGTTGATCATTTCTGCTCTTAATACTCCCGTGTGAAAGGGTCGGTCTCTCAGTTGGATTTTGTGGATAAGGTTTTTATTTTTCCGTCCCCGACCTTTAATAATATTCCAATGCGGGGTCAAGATCAGGAAGGAATGGAGAGATTGGGATTATGGTGACCTTGCACTCTGAGATGAACTGCAGAGAAGACAGATGTATGTCATGTCTGCAGCAAGGGTGGCCCTCACTGATCACTGTTTCCTCAAGAAAACTACTTGGGTTCTGACATTTTTTATTTTTTTCTTGACGCATTTTTTTTTACATTTTTTCATAATAAAAATGAAATGCTCTCTAAAACTATTGAATTGATGTTTGTGTGTTTGCTGATCTCAGTCCTTTATAGATGACCACTGTACTACACATGGTTGTGTGGTGTCACAATTCTTTAAGATCATGCATCAACACTTTAGAACTAGGGCTAATAGAGCAAGCAGGCCACGAATTTAAAATAAGCATAATTAGTAGTCCTAGGTGATGCGAGAAGAAATCAGAGAAGTGAAAACATTAGATGAAAGATATATATGGAATAACAGTATTCATACATTATATGATCTAGTAGTATCATTCCTGGGCATATGTCAAGGGAAATTCATATGTATGCAACAGGAAATATGAAAAATATACTTTCACAAATACAGAAGTCTAGAAACTATCCCAGTGCCCGTCACCAATGAATGAAATGATATATGTCAACCGGAACATGAGCCGCAATGGTATATAACACTGCATGAATCTTAGCAACACTAGGTGAAAGGGTAAGTCCTAAAAGACGATAGGCACCAGGACTTCCTTTTTCATATAGCAGAAAACCAACATTTTAAGGAAAATGTTCTGGGTAAGTTAGATTATAGTCTGTCTCTTTAAGACATTAGTCACTCTAGGAGGCCAGGGCTCAGCCTGAAGACAGGAGACCTCATTCCCTCCTGGAGTCGACAGGCCACTGCTGGAAGGATTAACACAGGTTGGGGTGGGGAGAACAAACCCTAGCTAGACAAAGGAAAACTAGCTATGCTTTCCCTGACATTAAATTATGGTCTGGCTCCAGGTGAATTTAATCTACATAGTTTCCATAGCAAAGACATATTACCTTGTAGCCCCACCCACTAGGAAAACACTGTAAACATAATAAGCTCTGCCTTTGTTCCCCGGAAATGCGCACATCTTTCCTGTCAGCTGACACTGGAAGTCCCCAGGTGGCCAGAATAAGGAACCCACTTTCACCTGGAATTTGCCTATCACCTGTCTAAAGAACCTGCTCTTTCTTCAAGGTGCCTTGAATGCCATTTGTCTATTTAAAGGGGACACATTTTCAGTGTACCATAAAACAGGGGAACCCTTATCTCAAACATCACCAAAGAAGCAGAAGAAACAAACTGAATGGCTATCACCTGGGAATTCAGGGTATGATAGAGGCAAGGTTGGGGAATTTGTAAAAGTCAGTGGATGGTGTGTGTGTGTGTGTGTTCAATTCCTCATACCTACACAGTGGAAAGAGAACCAAATATCCTGATCTCTGCACACACTAGATGAATGTAAGTTAAAAAAAAAAAAGATTAAGCATTATAGTAAGAGATAAACTAGCTAACCTTGGAGCTGGGGAAACAGTTCATTTGGCCAAGTGCCTACTATGAAGCATGAGAATCTGAGTTCAATCGCTAGCATGCATTTAAAAGTGGGTGCAGTGGGTAGGAGAGTGATGAGTACTGACTGGGGAGAGACAGGCAGGTCACTGAAGCTTTGTGGTCAGTCAGTCTTGCCAGTTCCAGGTTCAGCAAGAGACCCTGTCTCAAAAACACAAAGTGAAGAGTGATAGAGCAAGACACCTGGCCTCCTCACACATAGTGTGCACCTATGGGTAGGTATATGTACATGAACACACACACTTGGAGACTGGAAAAGGAATGATTCTCCCCACCTACTAAGGAGTAGCCAGTGGGCCAGGCATTGTGCTAAGCACTGTGTGAGATAAAAACCTGAGACTTAGAAGGGTTAAATTACTCCTCCAAGCTCCTGGTGCTCATAAGTAGCAGATCCCAGCCCACAGCTGTCCAGAGGCAATGCTTATGCCCTTTAACATTATGCTCTAGTTTTCTTACTAATCTTTGGGGCTGTATAGATTGTGCTGACTCCAGAAGAGTTTAACGTTTCTGGTTTTGTCTGATTTTGGACTTACCTTGATCTATAAAGATACACTGGGGATAGGGCCAATCTCTAAACATAAAATTCATTCATGTTTCATGTGTATCTTAGAATGGTTTTTGTTTGTTTTTTAAGACAGTCTCACTATGTAGCCCTGACTGCCCTGGAACTCACTATGTAGACCAGGCTGGGCTTGAACTCACAGAGATACACCTGCCTCTGCCTCCCTGAATGCTGGGATTAAAGGTGAGTTTATGGCTTTGTTTTGGGTTGTATTCACAGATATCTGCAGATACACACAGCCTTTGGGCAGCAGGTTAGACAAACCTGAAAGTATACAGTGATGTGGGATTGCCCTCTGTATGCTGTGGTTACCATTAATGAATAAAGAAACTGCTCTGGACCTATAGCAGGGCAGAAGTTAGGTAGGCCGGGAAAACTAAACTGAAACCTGGAAGAAAGAAGGAGGCTTCTCAGGAGAGAAGCCATGGAGCCTCCACTCCAAAGTGCTGATACTTTGCCTGTAAGCAACTGCCACCTGGCGATACACAATTAATGGAGATGGGCTAAATTAATATGTAAGAGTTAGTCAAGCCGGGCGGTGGTGGCGCACGCCTTTAATCCCAGCACTCGGGAGGCAGAGGCAGGAGGATCTCTGTGAGTTCGAGGCCAGCCTGGTCTACAAGAGCTAGTTCCAGGACAGGCACTAAAAACTACAGAGAAACCCTGTCTCGAAAATCAAAAAAAAAAAAAAAAAAAAAAGAGTTAGTCAATAGCCCGGTGGTAGTGGCGCATGCCTTTAATTCCAGGACTCAGAAGGCAGAGGCAGGCAGATCTCTGTGAGCTCGAGGCCAGCCTGGTCTACAAGAGCTAGTTCCAGGACAGGCTCTTTTTTTTTTTAAATATTTATTTATAATGTATACAATATTCTGTCTGTGTGTATGCCTGCAGGCCAGAAGAGGACACCAGACCCCATTACAGATGGTTGTGAGCCACCATGTGGTTGCTGGGAATTGAACTCAGGACCTTTGGAAGAGCAGGCAATGCTCTTAACCTCTGAGCCATCTCTCCAGCCCCCCAGGGCAGGCTCTTAACTGGGGCTTCTATTGCTGTGACCACAGCAACTCTTTTTTCTTCTTCTCAGGGTAGTTATACATTCTTTATTTTATTTTATTTTAAAAAGAAAACAAACTATCTTTTTTTCATTTTACATACCAATCCCCTTCCCATTTCCTCCTCTCCTCCCATTCCCTTCACCTTTTCCCTCACCCCATCCCCCTTTCACTCCTCAGAGAGGGTCAGGCACATTGCTTTGGGAAATGTCCAAGGCTCTCCTTACTATATGTAGGCTGAGCAAGGTATCCATGCAAAGAGAATGGGTTCCCAACAGGTCAATATAAGTGGTAGGGATAAATCCTGGTGCCACTGCCAGTGGCCCTGCAGACTGCCCCAGCCCACATTCAGGGGGTCCAGTTTGGTCCTATGCTGGTTCCTTCCCTGTCCGGCTGGAGTTAGTGAGCTCCCATTAGCTCAAGTAAACTGTTCAGACCACAGCAACTCTTATAAAGAAAACGTTTAATTGAGGGGGCTTGCTTATAGTTTCAGAAGTTCAGCCCATTACGATCATGATGGGGGAGCATGGCAGCCTGCAGGCAGATGTGGTGCTGGAGCTGAGAGGTAGCAGGAAGTTGACTGATAGTCACACTGAGGGAAGCTTGACCAAAAGAGACCTCAAAGCCTGCCAACGTAGTGACACACTTCCTCTAACAAGGCCACACCTCCTAATAGTGCCACTCACTTTGGGGGTTATTTTCTTTCAAACCACTACATAGAGTGACTAACTTGGTTTCTATATTCTCCAGTACACTTCTATCTATCTATCTATCTATCTATCTATCTATCTATCTATTTATTATGTATACAATATTCTGTCTGTGTGTATGTCTGCAGGCCAGAAGAGAGCACCAGACCTCTTTACAGATAGGGGTTTTTTTTGTTTTGTTTTGTTTTGTTTTTGTTTTTGTTTTTGTTTTTCGAGACAGGGTTTCTCTGTGGTTTTGGAGCCTGTCCTGGAACTAGCTCTTGTAGACCAGGCTGGTCTCGAACTCACAGAGATCCGCCTGCCTCTGCCTCCCAAGTGCTGTGATTAAAGGCGTGCGCCACCACCCCCGGCTACAGATAGTTTTGAGACACCATGTGGTTGCCAGGAATTGAACTCAGGACCTCTGGAAGAGCAGGCAATGCTCTTAACCACCGAGCCATCTCTCCAGCCCCCTCCAGTCCACTTCTTGCGGCTTCCACTAAGAGTTTTAATTGCAGATTCGTCTCTGGAAGCATTTTCTCATTCTTGGAGCTCCCCTCTCTCTGGACAGGGAAGAGACTCGGACTGTGGAGTGTGGTGAGTGTTCCTCTAGCCAGATCTTCACTGTCATCCACGTATCCACACAGGAAAGAAACTTCTGGTGTGTGAGGAGTGTGGCCAGGGCTTCAGTCAGAGTTCCAGACTCCATGCCGGCAGTGTCCACACTGGACAGAAACTTGAGTGTGACCTGTGACTGAAGCTTCAGTCACAACACCAACTCGGAGTTCACACAGAAACTATTCCACCAGCATTCTAATTCTGCAGTTCACCAGAATTTACAGAAGAGAGAAACGGTGACAAGGTGCTAATTGTAGCAAGGACTTCAGTCAGTTCTGATCGCCACGTGCACTAGAGCTGTTGAAACACAGACCTCCATGCTTATCACCCAAGTCCACAGGAGAGAGGCTTCAGGTGTGAGGGTGTCCGGGAGTTTGCAAGCACTCCCTGCAAGTGGAGCTAGAGAGACTCCACAGTGTGATGTAGAGTAAGGGCTGCGGCCAAGGCACGGCTCTGGGACTATGAAAGAAAAACCCATTCAATGCCACTGCGATGGTAAAGGTTTCCATTGCAAGAACCTTTGTGTGACCACAGTCCACCCAGGGGAGAAAGCCTGAGAAGTGACCACTGGTCATCACTTCCGTCCATTCCACACGGGAGGAAGAAACATATATATGAAGCGTGTGGTAAGGACTGTGCTGAAGCACACAGCACTCTCTCCAGCTGAGCTCTGGTACCTCCCAGAGACTGAGCTCTGTGGAAACTGCTTCGTGTACTCTGCCCACCTTGTGGT